GGTGAGAGAACGGCCGTCCCCCCTGGCCGCCCGGCCGTTCAGCCAGACAGTCAGTCAGACAGACTGACAGCCCGGCTAAAGCTACTGCTACAGCCACTGCCTCCTTTTGTCATCTTTCTGCCGCACTGTTGCCTTTCACTTTTCTAAGTAGCGTGAAGCAATTTGCAATGTGAAGCCCTAGACATTTCCTACATGCCGGTAGGAGACTGAGGCTGACAGGCAGGTGGAACTGGATTTACTGGACATATCCAAACATTGCCCCACATTTTAGTAGCAACTGGCTGGACTTCATGACAAATATATTAGCTTTGTGACTTATTGTAAACACTATTACAAACAGTACCACCACTTATGAAGCCACGTGCTGTATAGAAAATACAAAAAACAAGTTTTAAACATGTTACGCTTTGTGCACAGAAAATGACAGCAAGCAAGAAATTACCTTTTATTTCCTATCAATCACAGGACCCAGACATGGGTGATATACAGACATACAATTTCATAGATCATAGAAAAAACTCAGTCACAGATTTAATTACTGTGTTTAGCCCAGCAACATCTGTGGGCCCCCCATCAACAAAATTGGCCTGGGGCAGTTGCCCCTTTTTTTTTTCAACAGTCTTGTGCTTTTGGCGATGACCTATTATTGATGTTATCACAAAGCGGCATCAAAAAATAGGTCAGGGCAGCTACATCTTCACCCCACCCAAACATTCAGCTGTTTTTGCATGATGCTGATGGTGCAGAGAAGTAACCACAGATTGTTCTATCAACATGCACGAAGGCCATAACAATTCATTTACTGAAATAAACGAAAGGCCATGCAGCTGTGACTGCTAAGATGTTTGAACAGCCTTGTGGCAGCTCCACATTTAGTGCACACAAACAATCAATATTTGTGCATTTAAATGCCTGAAAGAAACTCTTTGCTACTTGTCGTATGATCACTTTAGGCACAGCGATGTGACCCTCGCTAGTTTATAAACCACGTATACGACGACTTCATTGTTCGATGTTATTTACTTTGCATTTGTAAGGAGCACGGCCCAGAAATAAATTGTCATGGATATAGAGTTATACTTTGCTGTTTCTCCCCCAAAAATGTCAAATAAATTCAAAATTATGTTTTTTCACTATTATGGCTTGTGTGTGGGACTGATGGAAAAATTTGTATGTCACAGATAAAAAGTATAATTATTGTTTACATTACATTTACTCAGTTAAACATGCACAGTGGATTCTTACAAGGAACCGGTTTTTGTGGCTCAAAGGAAATTTAGCAACTGAACAGCAAGAGACACAAGATAGAACATTTTGAAAATAATTATCAGAATTATGTGACGGGTTCTGCAGCAGAGATTTACAGGCCTGGGACATTTAAAGTGTTATGATCCTAATATCTGGTCAGTCGGTTATGAGTGTTATGATCCTAATATCTGGTCAGTTGTAGCACCATGTGTAGCTCCTGGCTACCATGAGTCTGTATCCAGTTGAACAAACATCATCTCCATGCAGATGATTTCTTTGGCAACGCATTTAATCCCTCAGTTGCCTACCATTACCCAACCACCTACGTACTGGCCCAGACAAACGGCAAAGGGTTGTTCCAGGATAGAGACGAAAAACTTGTACAAATGCATCTCACTGTGGCCACTGAAGCTGGGTGTGAAAGAGGTATCATTGAACAGATTCATCAATTAGAACACTTTCCCCCGTGGCATGTGAAAAGTCTAAGTTCCAATGTAAATGTGTGGATGTGAGGTTTGCACAGCAGGAAAAAAATTAAGAAAGACCATCTCTGTAGTGAAGTCTCTGGCATTTTGCTCCAGAAAGAGCCCCACTGTTCTGCAGCATTTTACACCTTGTTCTCCATAGTGTCTCACAACCATGTGCTCAGAAACAACCCTCTGCTGTAAGAAATGTCCAAAGGTGAATATCAGAGTCAATTAGCAACCGTGGTGATAGCTTAATAATGGATCGGCTCACTCCAGTATAGAATAGAAAAGCCTTTAGTTACTGTGGGAAATTCATCCATGTTGAACTCTCCATTGTGTCTTGTGTAACAGGCTTGCAAATAATTGCTGTGCAAGCAACAGCAGAGTCACACCATACAATAAGTACAGTACAGTGCTAAATGTGACCTGGTTTATTGTTTCAAGACATCAGACAGAAAATGGCTTTCCTTGGGGGGGTAACAACTATATTTTGGTTTATATGTGGTTATTAATTGTGTTTTTTTAATTACTTATTATATGCCACATATTACAATTTTTGAGATAAAAAAAACCCTCCTGGATGTGACATACACTTTCTTACTTTAAGGTGTTTATTTTTAAAAATCTTTTTTCCCCCATTTTTGTTTCCTTCTCTGCCACCAGAAGGAGGAATGTGAAGCGCTGGCTTCCTTGGTCCAGAAGGATGCAAACGTCATGATTTTTGTTTGTTCCCAGCTTCCTTTATTCTATCTCCTTGACACACGCAATAGAGTAAATAGTGGAGGTGGAGTCTGTGGAGGGAACAGTCAGAGACACAGTCAAAGTGTAGTTCAAAAGGACTGATTTCTGATGCATATTTCATACACGTTTGGCTATAACTGTAAATAACCATTTTATAATCATGGTGAAGAGGTGACCCCATATTTTGCAGACCAGATACTGAGCTGTGTGCAACAGAAGTAGGTGTTAGATCAGTGATAGTGTGAGGCAGCTCTGGAGAGGCTGAGGACACCTGAGGTAGGAGTTGATCCACTTACTAGATAAGGCCTGATAGTTAATCCTTCAGGTGACTCAGCATTGCCCTGCATTACTCTGTGATGCTGTGGTGAGTGGAGTCTGACCTTCATGTCATGTCACTGTTGATGTGTTTTTTATTTTTATTTTGTTTTCAGGTTTGTGTTGCTCCTGGTGCAGAGAACATGGATGATATCATTAGCAGGACGATGGTGCACGAGCGCCTCTGTGAGAGGCTTTGAGGACACTTGAAATTGATTGTGGCTTGAGTTTCAGGGAAACAGAGGGACATGTAGGACGATGAGAAATAAGAAGACACTTGAGACAGGATTGAGGAGGTTTTAGTCTCACATTCATACTTGTATATATTAGAACACTCTCGCAGAGGTTGATGAGAAATGTTGAATATATTGCCTTAAAATACACTTGCTGTGTTTCTGGTGTCCCTGTATCATCACATTTATAAGATTCATTATTGATTTTATAATAAAAACCCATAGATTATATACAAGACCAAACTCATGGGACTTGTGTTATGTTTTGCTGCTCCACAAGAGGAGATTCTGCATTTTTAAGTTCCTAATTCTTAGGCGCTGTACTGTTTTATTCTGCTAATACCTGAGCAATATTGCTGCAATTGATCAGCAGTAATAAAGTAATAAAGCATTTTGTGATTTCTCAGCTTAGTGCCCCATATTGTGCATTTTGTGATTTCTCAGCTTAGTGCCACATTGTTTATTATAACACCCAAGAACATATATTTTTTAATTGTTTTATAGGATTTTCGAACAAAATTCACAAGAATATGTCCTAAAAATCTTCTTTGGTGTAATTTTAAAAGTACCATATGATTTCATTATTTCAACAAATTCAAAGGACAATAATTCAAAAATATACATCTGAAAAAAATCTGTTTTTTCTGTCCTACATGATTTCAAAACTGATGATTTAAAAACAATTTTTCAGTGATCTATTATTTACTGACATGTCCTCCTGGAAAACACGTTTGAACAGTGTCTGTCGCTGACACGTGTCGCTGTTCATACCGACAGACACAACACTGGTGCCGTGGCCTCATTAGCACCACGGCCACTCACAGCAGACTGCAGTGACTGAGGAGGTATCAGTGTTGTCAGCTACTATTGGCACCCCTCCCCTCCTCCAAAAAAAAAAAATCAAAAAATCGTTCTGTGAATGTTTTCAGACAGCAGATGGTGGTACACCTACGTAGTCTCAGTTCCTCAGATGGTGATGGAGCCACACAGGCTCCATTAGTCCATATGTTCCACCAGTGCTGTGGTCTGCCCTGCCAAAATGTCAGCCCACTATTATAAGCAGCTCAGTCAGAGACGAGGGCTCCCTGTAAATCTGCTTTTTTTTTACAGGGAATTCTCTGGACATGCCTTTCAAATACAGGCTTCTCTGCTGTTGCTGCAGTTCTGTCAGATGTAAAGAATGGCTAATGAAGTCAGTGTTCATATACATCACTGGTATTTGATGGGTTTCCTATCACAAACTCAGGTGCTCGGTGGGTATATATTTGGATAGGAGGATAGGAGGGCAGAAGCACAGATCAAGAGCCCTTTGAGGTTTTTAGTTGTAGGTGGGGGACGTGATCACGACGCCCACTCGCTGCCTCAGTCGGTCTGCCTCTAACCTTTCCTACTCAAACAGCCAATCAGACTTGTCAAAGAACTGTCTGCTGTTTAATCTGCCTCTGCTCCTGCTGCAGTTTACTTTGCCTAATACAAAATGCAAAAAAAAAATGTTTGTAATGTCAGTAATTAATTCATTAATTAAAAAAGTATGCTTTTATTGTATGTATTTTTCTGTAAATGCCTGAGTTGTTTACATTTTTAAATTAAAATGTGGTATAGCTTGAAGTAAAACATTTATCCCGTGTCAGGACAGACTCTTCAGGTTGTCTTAAAAAAAAGGTAATCCCTTTAATTAGGATTAGTTCTTGGAACAGTTAGTGAGATGTGTTGCATTGAATAGACAGAAGAGGCTGAACTTAGACCTGCAGCAGAAAAGACGCTACATTTTCTGGAAGATGTTTCACTTGGGTTTACCCAAACTGTGCAGAGACACAGTAGGTGTCAGCTTTTATTTCAGGGCCAAAAAGTAAACTTTCTTTTTGATTATTTTTCTACATCCTTACATAATGTCTGGGCGTTAGGGTCAGAAAATTGGAAGCTTAAACTACACTGTTACTTAACCGTTTACTTAGATGTTAGCTACTTTCCATCATTAACGTTCAAATATAACGTTTGGTAAAGAAAAGTTTTCAGATGTTCTAAATTTAACACTGCCTGTGTCACGTTCCCTCTCCAGTTGGCAGAGTACCGCCAGAGAAAAGCTCACGCAGACTCGCAGAAGAAGCAGAAAAAGAAGAAGAAAAAGAAGACTGGGGATGACTTGGAGGGGGACTCGCAGGAACGGGGTGAGGCTGATCCTGATCAGTCTGTGGACACAGAGGAGGTCTCCAGTGGAGGACAGGATGGAATGAAAGAAGGAGCTAGAGATCCACCCACTACGGAGTTTACATTTGCAAAGACACTGCGTAGCGGAGAATCTGTCAAACATGACCAGACCTACACTATAGAGGTACTGCAGACTCACCCACTCACTTTGTGATGTAGTATGATGTAGCGAAAGGCCAATAGGTCAATTTCCTAAAAGATTTCCCATGAACAGAGTCTGTGTTGGGCCTTGAAGTTTAATTTAATCTTTAATTTCATCTTCCTTATAATAATTATTGACCTTCAGACCTTAGTACATTTTCATACATAAAGAAGCCTGATCACGTATTTATTTTCTCATTAAATATGTATATTTTTTTATCTGCACCTTGCAGTGTCTTTTTTCCTGAATCCTCTGTACCTTTACTGAAGAATGAGTCCACAAAACTACTGGTTGCTATGGAAACAGACAACTGCCTTTTAAGCAGTTGAGAGGCGTCAGTCTTACGAAACCAAACCCTGTGGCTTAGTAACACTTTCCAGCACAATGTAGGGTTTTATTTATGTCTTTGATCGTTCATACGGTCATTTTTGAGGTCGTTGATCGACCTGTGCTGTTCACACAGTAGCAACAAACCAAAACAAAGTCACGAATCTTTATAAAACCCATATGCTGCTGTGCTAGAAATAATTAATGCAGATAAATCGTTTTCCCACTTGCACTTTGTCTTTGTTATTTTTTTCAGAACAATTGCTGCTGGTGCTGTTTTTTTTTTTTTTATCACAAACAAGTCTGTCAGGGTCTTTGGTTTCCTTTCAATTTTTTCAGAAATATTTGGTTTGGACTCGCTGCTTCTAGCCTTCTCTGAAATCCTAGACAGTCAAGGCTAGTCAATTTATGGAAGAAAAGACACAATCAAAAAAGTTTATTGATAAAAATAATCTTTTATATTCTCCACATCAAACCTGAATCCAACATGAATCAGGCTTACACTCACAGCTGGTGTTGTTGCTCATGTTGGGCTTTCAATTAAAGCTAAATTGTCCTCCCGTTCTGCACTCCATGCAAAATAGGCCTCAGTAAGAGTTACTTTTATCCTGTGAGATTCAACTAGTGGGGCTATAAAATTGAAAAAATATTTTTGTGTTTTGCTCTGTGCAATTTTCATAATGTTTTGGGGTTTTTTTGTTCGAAATATAAAATGATTAATTTGTTTTAAATTCCTGTTGCAGCCGGAGAGTGAAGTGTCCACAACTGCTGAAGATTATTCCTCAGAGGTAAAGTGAACATTCCTAAAGATATGTTATCACATTTAGGACAAGCAGTGATTTAAAACTCTACAATTAAAAGGTTTCTTATTACGAGTTGAAAAGGACGTGTCCCTGTCAATGACTGTATTAGTCATTCCTTTGTGGTCAAAGCTGGTGCTAACCTTCGTGTAAAGAGCTTTTAAAGAAAGAGCAGTTTAATTCCTGCTTTTCTCTTTATAAATGAGAGTGGTTCAGGAGATTCTTTGACGCCTAAAAAAAAACATCTTTCTTCATGTCTTATTAAGTTTTAGAAAAAACATCCAGGTCTGCTTAATGTCACTGTACAACCATATGATCACCACTTAATGATGACAGTCTTCACTGCTCCCAAGGCTTTATTTTTTTAAAAAGGTTTACTTTTAACAATGAGGCCCATTTATTCTTTGAAAAGTCTTAGCTTTAAGTTGCAGTTGATGGTTAATCCAGCTGCTGTTATAGGAACTGACACACTGGTATATATTAGTGGGATTTATATAGAAATGATAAAAATATTTATTTTAATATTAAATGTTTAGGGGAATTGAAAGTCTAATATTTTACGAATGAAACTATAGTAAATCTGTGCATAGTCATGACATTTGAATAAGCACAAAACAACAGTTAAAAGATATGATGGAGAGAATGCATTTCAAGTGACATCCTCCTAATAAAGCCAACATTTTAAACATGACATTACCAAACTTTTTATCTCATGACATCATTGTGAATTAACAGGTAAATGGGTGCCACGATGAGATGACAGAGAATCTAATGATGTTCACCAAGGATTTTGTCTGGGTACAGTAATCCCCAAAAGCCAGTTCTTTTGTGTCATTGCTTGTCATTTTGCTAACAAACCCTCTGGCTGCCGTATCTAGCCTCTATTTGCTTGACAGTTTGGTCTCCTGCTAGTTTTCCTGTACCTCACTAACCAAGCCTGTTTTACTCTTTTCTGATCATTTTAATATTTACCACCTGGGATAGTATTTGACGTTAATGTTGTAGAATTTTGTTCTAAACCAGTATATTTTTATTTTAAAGCTTGACTTTGAGAGATAACAGAGTTTGACATTATATCTGGAAGCAGAAGGAAAACTGAGTGAGAAAGCTGAATGGGAAAAAAAAGGTGAAGACGGAGTGAGGACACAAAGTACTGTTCACACTCTCCTTGAACAGAACAGACAAAAGTCGTCTGATTGATGCAAAAAGGGAATTTGAAGCAGGAAAAATCTGGAAGTTGTTGTAGACGAGTCCAAAGCATTGGCTTAGTGTGTAGTTTGTAGGATTATATGTACCTCCTGTATCTCACCCTATTATATATGACCTTCCATCATGGACCCAACAATGAAAATGTGTTAACCCAAGCAGCTGATGCTGTGTTAACACTTCAGCAGCAGCATCATTTCTACCATCTCTACATTCCTCATGGGACGTTCGTCTATGGGATTGGCTGAGTAGATGTTTGGTGCTCTGTCTCCGTACTATAAATAGAAACTTTAATGACAGATTTTCATGGATTGCTTTGAATTTTGGGCTTTCTGTAGGTAGATTTTTACTTGATGCTGTATATCTTTTTTTCCGTTCATCTCTGGTATCAGTCAAGTTTTTTTTAAAATAAATGATGGATGTTCAATAAAATCCAGCTCCTGGCTCCTGTAACTGACAGCTGTTGCTCTGGCGGTGACTTTAGACTTCAGCTTGTATCATTTAGGCAAACCTGGTGTCAGTTTTGTTAACTCCTACCTGTTATTTTCCTGTTTAGGAGGAGGTGGAGGTTCAAGGAGACAAAATGCAAGTTATGGAGGATGTAAAAACGCAGACTGAGGAGGAGCTGAATCGAGAACTGGAGGAAATCAGAGCCAGCTTTGGTACAGACGAAGTGCAGCAGGTATCTATGTCACAGATTTTACTCTTTTAGTGTAGTATTTCCTCATCTACAACTCATAAAAGTCTGTTTCTCATTGCTGTACACTGCTGTCTATGGCTAAATGTGTGGTCACATTACACTACTCCATTTTACTTCTTAGCTACAGGACTTTGAAGCAGCTCTAAAGCAGCGAGATGGCATCATCACACAGCTGACGGCTAATCTTCAGCAGGCTCGTGAAGAGAAGGACGAGATTATGAAAGAATTTCTGAAGCTGACAGAACAAAGCCAAAAATTACAGATCCAGTTCCAGCAGGTGAGAATGTTTTACTGTCTTACTTTCCCATTTTCTGTCCTCTTTAATACAGGTAATTTAGTAGTTTTGTGGCGCTGCTTTTTTTCTGTTTGTACAATTATCAGTCACTCATTGTGTGGGCGAAAGCTTCCACCCGATCTAAAAGTAAAATGTATTTTCACATGTTTTTTTTTCTGACTCTGCTCTCTGCTGTGACTAATGGTCATAGCTCCAGGCAGGAGAGACACTGAGGAACACCAGCCACAGCAGCACAGCAGCTGATCTTCTGCAGGCCAGGCAGCAGCTTATCCAGTACCAACAACAGCTGGAGGAAGTGAACGTGGAGGTCAGGGAGCACCAGGAGAGGAGCAGTGAGCAGCTGCAGCACATCAGCCAATTACAGCACCAGCTGAACGAGATGGAGATGGTGAGTTTGACAGTGTGTTGCCACTAGAGCTTCATACAGTACATGTTTTTATGTGTGTTCAACAGTATGTTCATTTTCCAAAACTTCATATGCTGAATTTAGATGAAAATGGCAGAAATGTTAATTTCTTGAAATGCGTAACATGAACAACTGCTGTGTAAAAATACCTCTTTGATGAAAAAACTGATGAAAAAATAAAGTTTGGTTGTAACAATGGCCACATGAACTACTGCTTTGTAAAAATACCTCTTTAGACTGATGAAAAAATAAATAAAGTTTGGTTGTAACAATGGCCAGGAATGCTGAAGATCAATTTACAAAGTTTAGTTTTTAAGCATTTTAAAAAGCATAATGTTTTTTGTAATTATGTAATATCTTATAACTTTATATTTATCTCTTTTTCTCTGTAGTCGGGAAGACGATCTGAAGAGACCTTTATGCAAACAATAAACAAAAAGGAACTCTTGATTACCGATATGGAAAAAGTCATTTCATCTCGGGATCAGATGCTGGTGGAGTTGAGAACCTCACAGGAGTCTTTTGCACAAACCCTGGAAGAGAAAAGCCTTGTCATATCAGAGCAAACTGCAATAATCACACAGCATGAGAGGTCGTTGGCCTCGCTGAGGGAAGAACTCGTTAATGTGGGAAGGACAGATGAAAATGTTATACAACAGTCTGATGAAAAGGACTTAATAATAGCAGAACAGAAGAGAATCATTTCAGAGCAAGAATGCTCCGTCTCACAGCTGAAGGAGGACAGTGAGTCCTCCGAAAAATGTCTGCGTGACATCCAACGGCAAATGGCTGCAGGAGAATCGGAGCTTGAAAAATGCCAGAGTGAGTTAACAAACACAAAGTCTGAATTAGACAGTTGTAGAGCTGAGTTAGATGGTTTAAAAGAAGAGCTAGTTAAAGAAAAAGCAGAGTTCGAAAGTTGTCAATCTGAACTTTCAACCTCTAAACAAAAGGAACGAATGTCTTCTAATGAGATCATGCAGCTTATGGGCACGGTGGAGGAGCTCCAGAGACGCTGTCACCAGGGCAGCGTGACGGAGAGTGACACCGTCCAACAGATGCAGGAGGAGAACGCTAGGAAGCTGGAACTTCTTAGGGCAGAGCTGGATGAGGTGTATGGTCAGCAGATAGTTCAGATGAAGCAGGAGATTAATTTGCAACACTCAGAAAAAGTGGAGAAAATGACTCAGCAACACAGTACTGAGCTGGAGCTCCTGAAAGTACAACTGTCTCAGAGCTCCAGCGACAGCTCCGCTCAGATGGAAAGTCTCAATGCTAAGATTAAGGTGCTTCAGGAGACGTTAGAGCAAACACAAGCAACGCACGATCAATCCAAACTCGAGCTAAACCACATTGCCAGAGAAAAACTTGACCTACAGGTTAAAATTGAGGATCTTCTAAAAGATCTTCATTCTGCTCATGAGAAAGTGGAGCTGGTCTCCCACCATCTGAAATCTCAGGAAAGTCAACAGGAGGAAGTGCAGAGCCTCCAGGAGATGATCGACAGTTTGAAGAGTCAACTTGCAGCTGCTCAAGAAGCCGCACAAGAAACAGAAGTGAAGCACGAATCAGAAGTGACCAACTACAAAATTAAGCTGGAGATGCTGGAGAGGGAAAAAGACGCTGTGCTGGACCGCATGGCTGAGTCACAGGAAGCAGAGCTGGAACGCCTGAGAACTCAGCTCCTGTTCAGCCATGAGGAAGAACTCACCTACCTGCGGGAGGACCTGCAGAGGGAGAACTTCATGAACACAGAAAACCTCCTCAATGAAGCTGCTATCAAACATCAGAAAGTCCTGGATGAGCTGCGTCTAAATTATGAAGAAGAGCTAACTTTGTCTCGGTTAGAGAAGGAGAACTTTGCCAAAGAACGAGATGAGCTTCGGCATCAAATTCTTGGCTTGAAAGAAGACCTCAACTTGGCTTTGCAAACTTCCAAAGCGGATGAGTTGGTAGAGCAACTGCAGGAGCTCCAGGTGGAGCTTGAAGAGCTAAGAAAGGAGGGAGAAGAACGACAGAGACTGGAAAATGAAATTCAGACGTTGCTAAACCGGACGGATGTGCTTGAAAAAGAGGCAAAAGACAAAGAAGAATCCTGGGAGTTGGAAAAGAAAACACTGACAGAATCACATGACACTTTAAAAGAAGACTTTACTGCAAAATGTAAAGAAATTAACTTTTTGACTCTAGAGAAGAATCAAATCCAACATGAAGTAGATGCACTGAAAGAAAAAATTCAGAACCAAAAGACAACGTTCTCTTTTGCTGAGAAGAATTTTGAGGTAAATTATCAGGAGCTGAAGGAAGAATACATGTGTCTCGTCAAGGCCAAGACGCACTTGGAAGAGAAGACACTGAGGGAGACGCTTGAGTTTGAGACAAAAATCACCAGGCTTGAGTCTGAGATTGGGAAGCTGGAGTCTCGAAGGGATGTCAGAATGGAGGAGACACATACAGTCTATGTGGAAAAAGATACTACTGAGCTGATGGAAAAACTTAAAGTCACTATATGTGAGAAGGAGACAATCACTGATCGGCTTTCTGAAGTAAACGAGAAACTGTTGTCAACACAGAACAAAGTAGAGCAGCTTGAAGAAGAGCTGACAAAAGTGAGGAGAGAAAACACAGAGGTCATGACGAAAAATAAAAGATTGGAGAAAGTTCTGGAGGAGAACCAAGAGCAGATGCGAAAGCAGAAAGAAGAGCAAGCTTCTGATGATTCTCAGACTCAGTCTTTGCGAGAGGAGATAAAAGCTCTTCAGTCCCTGCTGCGGGCTGCTGAAGCCGAGAGAGACGAGATCAGACAGACCCTGGATCTCCAGCAGCTCTCGCAGCCTCCGTCTGCAGCCACAGTCCAGTGCTCGGGGGAGGGACCTGTTGAAGGACGGTCCTTGTCACAGAGACCAACAACAGCTTCACAACACAACAAACGCAAGAAACGACAGAAGACCAGGCAGGAGCACAAACCGAGCATCTCTTTGCCAGGCAGCAGAGGAGACACGCAGAGGGAGGAGGAAGAGGAGGCAGCAGCAGCAGCGTCGATTGAGGAGAAGAGGAGAGCAACTAGTGCCGCAGCGCAGAAGAAGCAGAATCCTCAGATGAAGAGCCAGGTGGTGTCACGCTCACAGCAGAGGGCCAGAACACAGGGCTCCAGCAAGGGACACCGTGTAGACGGGGAGAACACCAGCAAACAGGTAGGCGCTCATTCACATGCATTTACTGCAGCACTTGAGTGAGTGAGTGCAACAGTCGCAGCCGCTTTTTCTCTGCATCTGTGAATCCCATTAAATTAGAGGTTTCATTATTTTGCTGTTGCCATGTGGCATTTATCAAATTTATGCATTATTCTCGACTATCTGCAATTATTGCAGACAAAAAAGACTGCATTCGTAGCCACATGACGCTGTAACATAAAATAAATAAAAAATTGAGGCAGAGCCAGAGTACAAACTGCTCAAAGCTGCAGTGTGTCAAGACTTGTTATTCTTGTCATTTCTACTTTTAAAGGAACACTATGCAATATTTATGAGCTGCCTCCACCTGATGCTGCTGAGAAAAGATTGCCACAGTCTGACTCTCACTTTGGCTCGGCCACTTTGCCACTCATGTCATAGATTTAAAATCGCTGCTGTTGTGTAGAAACCTGTACATTCTAGTCTCTCTCCGTCCTGCAGGTAGTGAAGGGTTTGAGGTGAGAAGCCATTTTTCACCAGTCACTTCTGTGTCTGTGTCACTTCAAGCAGTGTCTCTGTCACACCAGGTCAAAGGCAGTGAATAGTTCATGTCTACCATTTCACCTGTGGGTTTTTTTCACTGTTCTGTCACCTCCTGTGGTTGCAAAAAAGAAAGTCAGTTTTAATGCTATCATGAATAAATCTTTATTGAAACTGAACTCAGGACAGACCATGCATCACATAAAAAAGATAATGGCAAAATGTTTTAGTTGATGTTCATTGATACATGGTTGAGGGACTTTTTTTAACAGAATAAAAACATTAAAAAAATATTTTGCTATCTTTTTAGTGACATACACGTAATGAGTAAACCAATAAAGCCATAGAATGAACCAGTGATGTGCAGCAGCATTGTGATGCTGTAAATGTTTAAACTGAGGTTAAGACCTTTAAGTTAAAATCCCCTTTAATTTGAACTAAGTTTAGTATTTGACTTTTTATTTCTAAAAGCTTTAAAAATAACTGTAGATACTTACAAAACAAAAATAAAACTGTGTTAAAAAAGCAGAATGGAAGGCTGTAATAATTATTATTATAAGTCTATAATCAAATGGTATTAAAACAAGTCAGGCAATGACTGGACAAAAGCTTCAGATATTGTTTTAATAAATGCACTTTATCTGTCATTATTTGTGTTTTTCCTTTTTATTTTTACCATTAGACGTGTGCTAAGTAACCTCCATGTTCTTACATTCTGTCTGTATGTCTGTCATATATTGCTGTACCTGTGCAGAGGCCTAATCACTGTAGTAATACCACATCATTTCTCGCATCTTTAGGTGAACAGAGATGAGATGGATGACTGTCACACTGATCCTGCCGTTTGCCAGAGAGCAGAGGAGGGAGAAGGAACAACCGAGCATGTAAATGTCACCAAAGCTAATATCCTGCTCTTGACTTAGCCTCACACATTATAAAGTGCAATAAATAGATACTCATTTTCCAGTTTGGTCTCGTTTTAGCTGATAAATACCGACACTGTCACTTAAGGAGGAAAATGCAGGAAAATAACAGCAGCTATAAGAAGTGTTAATGTGTTAATATAAAACAACTAACATTTTGCACACCTAACAATACAGTTTAAATAGTCACATCAATAAACAGATTTGAAAAAGGTTCAATGTTGGTACAAAAAAAATTAAAACAGTACCTAAAAAAAAAGAAAGACATTTTCAGAGGCAGGTGATTGTCATTAACTGTCACAGAAATGCACAGTTATGAATGAGCTTGCTGCAGTAGTTCAGCCAAGACTGTTTTGGCAGCTTTTCAGCACAACAGGAACACCTTAAATAATATCTCACTTAGCTCCATAACCACTGCCGTCTGCTTGTCTGTGTCTGGCTGTGTCTTGTTATGAAACAGCAACATGTATGTACTCGGAGCTTTGAAAGGACTCGGCAGGTACAGTCTGCCCCGGTACAAAGCACTTTTAACAGAGCTAATTAAAATTTAGAGTCCTCTGGGAGCTTTAGAAAAAACACCCAAAACATCCCAAATCAAAGGTAACACAATCACTGTTTCATAATTGTGTTGCCCCTAAATAATTAGTGCTAATGCATTATGTATCGTCAGAGAAAGGGACCTCACCCTGTGCCTTTTGTTGCCTTCAACAGAAGTGATAATGAATGCTCTCTCCTCCTGACAACTGCTGCGGTGTGCCACAGCTCTGACACAGTGGTGGGATTGAGTTGTTTACGCAGTCAGCTGCACTGATTTGAAGCACAATTTAAAATTGTTCTGAATTCCATGTGTTATTAAACTCTTGTGGTCTGCAACCATTTTAATCTGGTTTAAGGTTTCTATGGATGTAATACTAGTAATTATAGACATGCATTCAAAGGAGAACTCTAAAATGGTGTCCTTCAAATACAAGTATTGGACTGTAATTTCTGAGTTATTTTTACTACAGCTGGGACATAGCAATTATAATTCGATTATCATTTATGATTGTGACATTCTGTGCTTCTCAAATTGGTAAACCTTGGGTTCTATAGTATATTCAGTTCTTTATTGTGACTCATTATTATATGAAACTCAATTTATTTAGTAATGTCTATTTTTTTCCCTGTCAAATAGCCCAGTATCAAATATAATTGTATCTTCTTCTTCCGTCTTCAGGGTGAGTGCAGACTGCAGATGGAGGCCCAGCGCCTCAGCCTCTCACAGCTCCATGCTGCCCAGCTGGAACTGCTGCAGGAGGAGGCAGATGCCCTCACACATACTGCTGAGCCGAAGATGCAGAGCCAGAAAGTTCACAGTGACCCAGGTGAGGCTTCAGCTTCCTTTGTGTCTGTAGCAAAGCAGCTGTTCCCTGCAGAGATTGTGTCATTAATGATGTTTTTTTTTTGTCTGAGAGGGAATTTCTAGTAGTCTGTAGTCTGTAGGCTGTAGTCTGTTCCCTGCAGAGATTCTTTAAAGTGGAAGCAGCTGTTCCCTGCAGAGATTCTTTAAAGTGTCATTAATGATGTTTTTTTTTGTCTGAGAGGGAATTTCTAAAGCAAATCCAGATATAAAAATCATCTCAATATCCACTGAATATATTTTTCTCTATCTTATTTTTTACAGATGAGCCAATAAACTTGTTACATGCAGTTTCCGAAGAATGCCGCAAAATTATTCTGGTAATTCTTCATCAACAGTGTTTTTTAATTTAAAAGAAGACAATTATTTTAACAAAAATATATTGTTTCTTTCAGTCTTACCAAAAGATGTTTGGTGAAGAGTTTTTGGAGAATGTTTCTGTCAGTGAGCAGGTGCCTTCAGAGGTCAGACCACAAACAGGTGAATCCACCGCCACTGTCCTGGAGACTAAAGGTACATTTCTTTAAATTAAAAAAAAAAGAACATTTGCTTTTCTTTTGTTTCTGTTTGTTGTTTTTGTTTGTCTTCACACTGTTGACATTCAAATGTTTTAAAGAAAAGGTTTTATGTTGCATTCCATGCCTCTAATAATAATTATAATAAGGCACATTGCTCTCTGTTTTTGTAGAGCTTTATCAACGTCTGCAGCAGGTGAGGGAGAAGATGGAGCGGGAGCACGAGAGGCTGTCACAGCTCCAGGCTGAGCTGCGAGCTGAAGGGAACAAGGTAGAAGCTGTAGACTGAGCTTGTTCAAAGAAGAGAAAAGGAGACAAACAAGGACTAATCTGCTGCCGTTTCTGTCACAGATAATGGAGATGCAGAAGGCGTATGATGAGCTGAAGAGCAGCAGTGAGAAGGAGATCTGTGACCTGCGTGTGCAGGTCGCCGACTTTACTTCCTCTCCAAGCAAAGGTGAGTAATATTTAAATAAAAAATGATTGTCCAGTTGTGACACTTTAGTTCTCACAATATTTTTGCTTGGCAAACAATAATCAAAAGACGAAGCTATATTGTCTATGATATAATATCTGTTAGGTATAAGCTGTTTGGTTATAGATTTTTGTATAGTTTCTTTTAGCAGATTTGACCTCACTTTAAATGATCACTGAGCCTATTTGTTTTGATTACCTTTCAGCTGTTCCTGGAATATTTGTCATCTTTTAGCTAATTTCTAGCCTCTGCATTTATATTTACTGTAATCGGAATACAAACTTCAAATTTGCAGGACCAGCTGACTTACGAAGACATAGAAATGTCTTCAGTTTTATGTCTTCCTTAGCACCTTGACTGTGACATTTTACCCACGTTAGGTCCAGAGGAGCCAGTTGATACACCGCCTACCTCCACGACGGAGGAGCTACAGAGGCTACAGGCTGAGGCTCAGGAGAAACACCTGCAGCAGGAGCAGAGTCACACACAAGAGATGGAGCGTTTGAGGGCTCACTACCAGCAGGAGGCCACAGAAGCCGAGGAGCGGTACGCCACAGAGCTCTTCATGCTGCAGCAGAGGCTGCAGGAAGTCACAGGAACACAGACTCTCCCAAGGTGACTGCACTATGAAAACAGAACACAAGATAGAACTACAGAGAAACTGAAATATCATTGAAAAAAAGGCTAAACGTTTCACATTTACACTAGAGTGATTTTCAGACAGGTTAGATATCTATAGTTCAAATGCTGTAGGACCAGGCAGAGCTACATGATCTTTGACAGATGACCTCCGACGAGGCTGTTCTACTCTGCACATGCTGTGTGACATGTGGAAGCTGCCTGGCCCACTTCAGTTCTGACAACAAAAGACTCCACTAATGAAATATTCACCAGGTTATTTCAGCAGCTTATTGATGTCTTTTGTTAAGGACAAGAGTGCCCTTTCAGCCACAGCAGATGGTTTCCTGAGGGAAGAGGACATGAAGCAGTCACTTGATTAAATTCATGATTAACATCAAAGAATACCTGTCAGGTGTCTGCAGTACATTTTTGTTGTGAATTGAGCTACAGAGTAAACCTTAAACAACGAGGAATAAAAACCTGCATGTGAGGCGGAGTTTAACAGTGTTAGCCCTTCTGGTCTGTTTTCTAGATGGTGTAATTATACATTTCTAACCATTAATACACATCATATATTAGTTTCCTATAAACAGAGAATAGTTCTTAGAAAATGATTTGGTCTAGTAAGGAAAGTACTGCATACATGCTCTCACTTAGAACGGTGCTGCTGCTGCTGCCCTCCACTGGTCATTTCTTTGTGTAAACATTAACGTTGGAATTTTAATTTCATTGTCTGCTCACTATTAGTTGAATAAATGTTCTTATAGTTTTAATCTTTAAAAAAAACCCAAAAAACAAGTTTGATCATTTCACCCTTTGACATTATAAAGATATAATTACTTTTTTAAAAAAACAAAAAACAAGTTTGATAATTTCACCCTTTGACATTATAAAGATATTATTTTGTAATCGCTCCTTGTAAGTAAATACAGCGAGTGGAAATTTATATGGACATAGAAAAGAAAATGTTATCATATATCCAATAGACAGCATTAAATTTATTAAACATTTAATTGCAGAAAAACATTTAAAAGCATAAACAACTTTTCTTTTTTTTGTTACAGTTTGTCCACGATGTCAGAGTCTGCGTCTGAGAAGATGGATGAACACAGCGCAAAGGTAAAGGTTTTGAACTTCATGTCACATACATCACATCTGACCACGAACGTGTTCATGCATTAAAATGCTCTGACAGCGTGTGTGGTTGGAGGTTTCATCAGTTGCCCGAGGCTAAAAGTTGCCCTAGATCATTAGGGCGTTTTCTAGAAACAACGCCATGGAACAACCACTAAGAGTCCAGTAGTTACATAAGCCATTGTTCTGGTGTGTAAAACGTGGAGTAAGTGGACTTACTGTGGTCTCAGTCTCTCCATGAATGGATGACTGTGTCTTGTGAGAAAGAGCTGAACTTTTTTCCCTGCCTTCTCATCGCGCCGACTTTCATCCTTTAACGGTCGCTCTGTGCCATTTTTCTCCGATCTCAAAGTTCTGTTGCTCTCTCTTATTGAAGCTCCTCACGTCTGCATGAAGAAGTGAGACTGTATAGATTCAGAGGAGGAGCATAGGAAAATAGGCTTGGTACTCTTGTGAATGTTACATATATTGAGAATGTTAAGCTGCAGGCGAAGCTTCATGACTGTAAAATAGACAAGACAGGGGATTCATCCTAAGACACAGCATCAGTGTGCTCCAGGAAAATGATCCTGTATTTAAAGGGCCAAACAGTTGTCTGTCACTAAGACTTCCCTAGAGGAGCAGGGTGAACAAAATCATGTATTTATCAGTGGTGAGTTTTCCAGAAAAGACTCGATTGTTGGTGGAACATTTTTATATTTATAACTTTATCGTGACATCACCTTTGCTTAGGAACACAAGTCTCAGTTGTTTTCTGATCCTATCCTGTCTCCTCATCACAGGACCTGAGTGAGGAGGAGTTGTCGGGGGGAGATGTTGTGTTGGGCTGGTCCCTTACGTCGCCAGGTCTGAGTGTGCAGCTGCAGACGCTCAGGAAGGCGCTCTACAACAAGTATGTCCAAGAGGTGGCAACTCTTAAAGAGCAGCACAGCGTGGAGTTGAGGAGGCTAAGGGAGGAAAGGGAGCAGGAGGAGAGAAGAAGAGAGGAGCGCCAGGAAAGACGAGGAGAAAAAGAGCAGGGACTAGATTCAGAGGAGTGCCGAGCTGCTGAGGAGGACGTTCTGGAGGAGAAGCGTTACTGGGAGAGAGTGGAGGAGGAAGTTGCCAAAGTAGGTGATTTTACATTTTACTTGTGATTCACATCATTGTTGGTCACAATGTTAGGAACAGACAATATCAACAGACATTTGAGGCCAGACTGAATAGTAAATGACACAGTAATGACATAATTGTTGTTTTATTTATTGTTGTCATCGTCAGTGTCCACTCACTAATAAGTGTAGTTGAGGATTTCTGTTTTTATTTCCCTGTTAATAAAAGCTTATAGAATATGTTTACATTTTATAACATTCAATATGGAATAAACATTTTTATAAACAAATATGCTGGACGTTCACATATTTAAAGCTTGAGATGCTTTGGTGAAATGAAAACTTTTTACTTTCCTTGAGTGTGTACTAATGTATTGATTGTTTATTAGGGGATGGGGGAATTATTGGATATCTACTGTGTGTGTATGTGTGTTTTTTTATTTTGTGACATCTTGACAGATCCTTTAAGACTCTCTTTTATGACAGTTCAATCACAGACAGTCAGTCATTATATTATGTCTCAGCACAGGTTCAATCACAGACAGCCGTCAGTCATTATATTATGTCTCAGCACATTTCCAAACACACCTCCTTTGGAATTCCTAACCAACCATTTTATCTTATCTTAAGTCCTTAACCATCTGTATCACAATCAATTTCCTGATATGATTTTAGTTCCTGATATAGATTAAAAAATTTATATAACTTTGTTTATCTTTCTTCTGCTTTATATCACAATTATATCTCCAGGATAAACATGACGTATACTTGACTTAGTTCAGTTTTAGGGAAATATGCAGTTAAATGTGTCATTAGTTACTGCTATGGTTCAGTACATTGGTCATATTCTAATGCTTACATCATTTAATGCTACATAATGCTTTTTTGTTAAAATCATCTGCTCTGTATAAAAAAACAATTGGTATAATTAATATTTGCTGAAGGACTTCATTACTTAATTTCTTAATTTCCACCTGTGCCTTTCTTTTCTGTCAGGCCATCGTTCAAATATCAGTGGAGTTTGCGCAGCAGACTGAAATGGCTCGCATCAACAAGCACGCCTGCCAGGCCAGCACCTCCATGCAGACGCAGTCATGTGAGGAGGAGATGGAGGAGCAGGAGAGTGAGGAGCAAACTCCCAGGGATTCCTTCAGTCCTGGCGCCTGGCTCGAGGAGATGGAGAGGGAGAAAATGGAGAAGGAGCTGGAGGAGAGGAATGCTGAGATTCAGAGGTTAAAGGAGGAGCTGCAGAGAGCTGCAGGAGCAGCAGAGAAGGTCTGGAGTCATGTAAGATGTCAAAAAATGAATTATATTTTTTACATGAGAGAATTCATTTACGTTAATAATGAATGAGTGTGATTTTATAAATGCTCACCTTTTTATAGTACAGTTTCCTAGACTGACCTTATTAAGGCTGTGTTTCAACAGCCATGTACTTTAAATGAACAGAAATATAATCATTAAATTGAAACACTGTACTTTATTTATTATTTATTTTAATTATTCATTTTATCCCAACACTTTTGTAATAAAAGAGTTTTTCCAGCCCTGTTAAAAGGGAAATTCTTAGATGATTTGTTTAGGAATATATAACTTTATGTCTACCTATCAACTTCATTTCCACTTGTTAAAAGAAGTATTTTAAATGTATTAGTATTTTGTATTATTGTGCCAAAAAGCAAGACATGTGAGACAAAATAATCACTTAATACATATCAAATAACATAATATCATAATTCAGTATTTCTGACATGTAAGAAATGTGTTAAAAGTGTTTTTACACTTTTGTGTTAGAGTCCAGTTTCCACCACACAGCAGTTTAATGTTTTTAATTTACACTGAGCTTCCAGGAGATGGTGCTATTTTTCATTTACCTCAGATGCACCTGTTGCCATAGCAGCACAAAGATGGTAGTGTTTCTCTCAGCTGTAAAGAGGTTGAAAAGTGTGTCTTAGTGTTTGTGTGCTTGTAAAACAGACCAGTGAGTCTAATTTGAATTTGGTCAAAACTTCTGGTCACACATTCACACAACTCTCTGAAGTCTGCCTGTGTGGCTGTAGCTTTGCAATGACGGGGCTGCTGTCTGTCTTCTCTCTGCTGCCTGTTCAGACCTTAAAGAAGCAAACACACGATGAGGGAGAGGTTGAGGAGGAGGAAGATCCAGGAGGGCTGGGAATAAAGGAGTCGTATGCACAGACATTATCATCGCCGTCACAGGATATAACAGAATCCTCTCCTTCGGATGTTGAAAGGTAGTACTGCATTCAAATTCTTCTCCCACTCTACTTTTATTTGAATGATGGCTGTGAAGGATATTTTTATTCACCATCATGAACCTGGTTAAATTAATATTCCTTAAAGCTAGATTTATCGCAAGATTATCGTAGAACTTCCTAAAGATCTTTTGGTAAACTGTCTACTCTAATTTTCAGGGACCTGCTGCGCAAAGCCAATGAGAAACTGAGTCAGGTGTTGGTGGATGTCCTGAAGACGACGGCGGCGGCAGAAGAAACGATCGGTCTCCACATGCAAAACCTGTCTGATGCGTCCGTGGAACAGCAGCAGGTTGACGAGCCTCAAGTCACCTCACAGACAGCGACCTTGCAGACAGTTAACACACAGACCTTCAGAGCAAGTGCAGCAGGTGAGTGTCAAAAAAGGACATAGATTTTAACTATATTTGAATTATTCCATAGTCCCAGGGATGAAATACATCTGAAAAACATTAACTGAATCTGAATTAATCAAACAGGGTCTGAAATTCTAACAACCTGAGGATAGTGAGTGTCCAGTGTAAACTAAAACTTTCACTATTGACATTTTTACATATTTTCGCCTCCGATTTTGCTGCGTTCACAGTGTTCCTGTGAAAGGAATCAGTTCTGATCAGAGTTAAAAATAAGAAACAATATTACTTTATCGTGTTCCTGTCTGTCACCTCCGCTCTTCTGTTTAGATTTGAATTCTGTATGCAGCGTAGAGATAAAGCATTTGCTTTTTATCTTTTTGGCCTTTTACCTTTACTCATGCTACAGTCATTTCAAGTCTCTCGCAGTGAGGGTTATCTAATTTCTATTTAAATTACAGTCACTTCTGGTCAATGCATATACTGTACCTGAATGAGGCTCTGTGTGAACAGTGAAGGCAGCACCTTTATCTCTGCATGTTTTAAAATGTAAATAACTTTCAAATGATGTGGTGATACGACTGTGTTGTTAATGCAAAAACACAAAGTAAAGTGATGTGGCGTTTGGGGGCTGTACATTTCATATAAATAACAGGTATAGTATCTATAAACCATATAGTATTTGACCAACAGGTCTAAATATATATCCTCAATGAACAGATACCAGGCCTGTGTGTGTGTGTGATGAAGTCTTACTTACCTGTTTCTTTGGTTCCTTAAGGCCACACTGCCGAAGGTTCACAGAGCACCAAGATCGGTGCAGAAGACCTAAGCCCGTGGTCTAGGGAGACGGAGACAGATAAGGGTTTGAAGGCGTCCCAACAGATGGTGGAGAGCCTGCTGCTCGGAGCAGAGACACAGTTGGAGAATGAAGAGTTTCTAATGGGCATCGGTGGACGGCTGCAGTCGGCTCTGGAGAGGATGTTGATGGCCATCAATGACACCACCAACCAGGTAGTCCCTAGATATAGTGTTCTGAGCTATACCCTTTAGAACAGTGTTCTCCAAGACTGTTCTCACTCACTATCACTATCACTACATTTAAGTAGTGATAGTCAGGCAGTGGTGGCTTAGTGGTTAAGGAAGTGGACTTGGCTCCAGAAGGTGTGAGTCCCCCAGCTGCGAAGTTACCTCTGAGCATGGCACCGTCCCCACACACTGCTCCCCGGGGGCTAAATCTGTCCACTGTTCACTTTGGTGATGGGTTAAAAACAGAGGTTCAATTTCGTTGTTTTCCCGTGGTACAATGACAATAAAGACTATATATATAAAAAAAAAGAAAAAGGTAAATGGCTAATTATACAACTTTCCCAGAAGTTTGAAACTTTCTTCTGACCTCATCAAACTAAATAAATAAAAACAATCTTATGTCATTATTTTCAGTTTAATTGCAGGTAGTTGGGCTGCATGTTACAAAACACACAAATAACTACATTTTACTTAATAATAAAACATTTTTTTTACATATAAACTTTCCAGTTACTATTGGAGGGGAAAAAACATTTTTTTACATATAAACTTTCCAGTTACAACTTTTATTAATTAAGAAAATTACTTGAAATATTCAACATTTAGTAAACTAAACTAAACTTGTGATGCACCACACTTTAAATGCCATTTACCACAGGGTGGTTACAGAAGGTGTTAGACAATGTGTATGTGTTTCCACATATAAGTTACCAATAAACACAGATTCCTTTGGACCAGTGTATCTAAATGACCCCACTCTCCACACTTCTGCCCTGGCTCCTGTTCGTGGACGTTTAAATGACTGAGGCTGCAGAATGTGGATTGCAGTTACGTTGGGCCTGTGTAGAATTCACGCACACAAAAGCACTGCCTCATTTTCAGTCGTTGCCTCTGGTTACGAGCTGTGTTTACGCTCAGCTTTTGTGTGATTGACCAGCCTATCATAATCAAGCAGGGCAGAGTGTGTCCATCCCTCCCCCTCTGTGTAACGTGCCTACTGTTTCCAATGTCAGCCCACAGTGAAAGAAGGACTAGACCGGTTTAAGTAGGCCATTGAATGTGTTACTCTCACTGACTGCATGCCACGTCTTCCCATTGGCTGATATCCACACTCCATTTACGCTTAAATGCATTTTATCTTGGTGATCTAAAAATAGCGTTGAAGAAACCTCAAGGCCGAGTGATGATGCTGTTGTGTATGTGGGTTAAAGAATATAATATATGTTTTTAAATATGTATAAGAAATATACTTCTCTCCAGCTCCACTGAGTCCTCCTTTTACAATTATTTAAGTTTCCATGACGCAGATAGGAGGTTTTGTCAACATTATTTGAATAGCCTTTTCTTTAGAGACCAATCTCTGGTCTTGAAAGTTAAATATATCACATATTCCCTAATAAGAAATGTTTTGAACAAAGTGTATGAATAGATTAATTGAAAAATAATACCATACTAGTGCACTGAGCTCATGAGCTAAAGATGTCAAACTACAAATAGTTTAGTTTAAAAAATATTTTTACAGCAATAAAAACACATAGTAAGGATATTTAAATTAATTTTAAAAAACTGCTATTTTTGGCCACAGTAAACACCCTCTGTGGTAACTTGCAGTACAGCTTATATCTCTTTCAAGTAGAAACAATTAACAACACAATAAAGTTGTTATCAACCAAAGGTCTAATGGTTTCTTCGGCCGTTATCGATCCAGTTCACATGAATCTTTCGGCGCAGTTGCTGGATCATTATGTCCAGCCTGTGTAGCAGCGTCAGGAACAGAGATTGATGAAAGGAGTCGGTCAGGAATGTCTAGTGTCTGCTGCTGTAAATGATTTGTTGGGTGTAAGGTGTGAGTCGCTGGTGAGACGGAGTAGAAATGGTTGGTTGACATGTCTAACAGACACGGTAGGTGGGACCAGAGAAGAGAAAGAGAGTTGGTTTTTTGTAGGGAGAGAATCCAGTTCAGCAGCTTTTTGTGGGATGACAGGGTGTTGTCGTTGGTTCATACTGTCTGCGTGTATTGTGTGTTTAAAGATCTAATAGCAAATCTACCTGCTGGCCGTCAAGACTGTGGCCACGCCTGCTCCCCTCCCACTTTGCTCGGCAGTATCCTGCTGTGTGTGACGAAGGCAGGAAGTAAGAGAAAAATCCTCAAGTGGTGAAAATTGTCCTGGAATTTATTCTGTGAAACTAAAGAACCTGTGGACCCGAAAAGTGAGAGTAAGTGTAGCAGAGTGAGAGTATACGGGGTGAGTAAACCTCGTCTGACAGGAGCATTATTCGTCATCAGTGAATAGAATTACAGTTGGAGCATGTGCAGAAAAGGAATGACAGTTTCAAGGAAGTAGGACTGGAAGAGTGAGCAAGTTTTATCTCCACGTTGTCATTTCACCCTGCACCGGCTTTCTCCACGTTGTCATTTCACCCTGCACCGGCTGCTGCTTTGACTAGACAATTAAAAGGGGCCTCTGGGAGGCTTCCCCACAGGTCTGGGTTGCTACGTCGACATAGTATTGTTGAAGAATCTCCAGAGAGAGAGAGAGAGAGCGAGAGAGAGAGAAAAGAGACGACGGAGAGTAACAGAGAAAGAGAAAATGAGAGTTGTAGCCGGCGTGGGGGTGTGAGCAATACAGATATGCTTTTACCCTGAAGAAAGAAGGTCAGAAATGACAAGAGAGCAATTTTTTTTAACACAAAGTGAAGAAATGCACGCTTTTGGATTTACATACCTTTTAAAGTCAAATTCTGGATCTCCCTTTGAGCTGCTGGACCCAGCTCTGGCATCCACCTGCAGTCCAAGATGACACCTGGTGAGACTGGTAAAAGTCATATATGTCGGAGGATTTTCTGTCTCAATATTTACCCAGAACCTGTTCTACCTCAAGGAAGCGGCATGTGATTAAGATGACGTGAACGTCTCCCTTTCCAAATGTTGTTTACTCTTCTAGTGTGGGGCAAACATAGAAACTGTTGCCTGGAGCTATCCACACCATTCTCTTACCACCGCTTCAAACCCCACTGGACTTCATTCTTGATTCCGTTTGCTCAGCTAATGCTGAGGGATCGTGGCAAATTGAGGCGTCTTTGATGACCCTGACAAAAAGTTTGGACTTGAAACACAACTGGAGGTTCTCCTCCTGTTCTTCCATCTTTCACTATGGATTCATACCGTTCCTACCGGAACTCCAGCATGCAAAATAGCTCATGGATGGACGGGGAGGACAAGGATGTGTACGAGGTGGAGTCCCGCGTACCCCTGCCTCGACCTTTCCCACTCAGCAGCACTTTGAACGAGAAAAACGCCATCGTGGTCCAGACGCAGATCTCGCATGTCAATCACAAGATGAACGGTCATCTTCTTAAGGTTGTCTCTAAAATCTCCCTGCCCACTCCTCCTTATACAGTAAGTTGATGTACACCTTCAGCCCAAAAACTCTCAGCTCTTGGAATCTTAAAAATGGATTTGTGTGCAATTATCAAACTTCTTGATTAATTACCAGGTTTAGAGCCAAGTGCCGATTAATATCTTATGGGAAAATAACATGTAGCTCAGGTCTGCACATGCATGTAACTGGTTGTCATTCCAAGCAACCGCACAAAAGGGCAACTCCTCTGAGCTGCTTTTGAATCAGTAGGTGAAAGACCGTGTTATTACATATGTGGCAGGGTTTAGACTGAAGTCATTCTGTTCACTGTGAGCTGACAATGAGACCTTTGCTCAGGGAGATATGAACTCTATAGAGGGTAAATATGAGATGAGTGTGAACAAGCTGGACTGTTATGACATCATGATGACTTTATTGCAGGAAAGGCTATCGTCAGTCACCTGACTGTAATACATGTAATGCTCTGACTTTCATGCCACTGTCATTTCTTTAAGGAAAATACAAGTAATATTGACAAATACATGTTGTAAATTCAAATGAGGTAGATGGCACAACTATGAAGGGAAAATACTCCTCTCATAAGCTCTCTGAATAATTATTACTCAGGCATCAGAACTGTAGCATTAAAATCAGCATCTGGGAACCATTACTCAGTAATTTGGGTCATCATTGTTATGATGGGGTAATGTAGCAAACCTCAGTCTCTGCAGTTGCGTATTCATGTCCTGCCAAATACAAATTTCTCTAATGGTTTAAGACCAGGTCATAGAAAGTACATGTTAAACATATTAAACTCATGATTGTGGTGAAGAGAAAAGTTTGAGATGATTTGACCTTTGTGACATGGTCTCTGGATGGTGTTGTTGGAAGTAGCCAGCACAAGTAGACTGCTCTCTGATCATAAAAACATGGCCGTGAAAATAAACATTGGTCAATTATTACTAAGTGGCTCAAATGCGCCAAGAAAATGCTCTTTGCCTTCACCAGCCCACACTGTTGATAGAATGGTTGATGGATTCATGCTTTAATGCTGTTTACCTCAAACTTTGCCACTTTCACACAACAGTGTTGTGGGAAACATCTTAGAATTGTACCTACAAGTTTCTGATCTTGGGTGATTGATTGACTGGGCTTGTGAATTCAGAGATTCTATTTCATAGACTGTGGTTTCAACATCAGTTTAATTAAGGTAACTTATTCTTTCCAATCACCATTTCACCTCTGACTTATGGCTGTGTTCCATGAAGTGTCCAATTACTTTTTTTAAAAGCCATATAAAAATTATGATAATATCTTTTCTCACGCAACGGTAAATCTAAGTGCTGCAATTATGAGATGAGATTTATTTTCCAACTATTAGAAATTGAATTTGTTAAGAATATTTAATTAAAAAATATGTTTCTCTCCTTTTTGCCTAGCTTGAACATGCCCGGCTGACACAGACTGAGCTAATGAGAGAGTCCTTCCGCCACAACCAGGAGATCAATGAGCTGCTGCAGAAGCAGGAGGAGCTGCAGGAGCGATTGACAGAGGAGGCCCGAGCCCGAGAAGATCTGGCGTTGGAGCTCCACCGCGCTGAAGGTGATTGTTCTTGTATTTATGTATTTATATCTTTGGCTGTTATAGTCTGTGTCATCTTTGAAAACATTTTCATCCAAAGATTTTTTTCATACAAAAACAGTGTTTTCACTCCCAGCTTCTCTGTTGGTTACTGTTAGTTAAAGCATAAGGAGCTAAAGTGAAAATGCTTGTGTGCATGTGTTTGAAAGAATGGGGGTGTTACTGAGAGTGGGGAGGGGAGATGGGGGGGGTCAGCTGTTTGAGTAAAGGAGTGTGAGACCATCTGTGGTGAGAAGACAACACATGGTGAATAGTATTTGTTCAGTGCATCTTGTTTGTGTTTTAATATTTGGTTCTGTCTGCCAGAATTCTTACTAAATAACTAGGATTCAGGTTGAAAAATAAGTTGTGTTGAACAAAGGAGAGCCTCATGGAAAAAACCCATTAGTTGATGGTGATTTTGAGGTCAGAGGGCTGCAGCTGATTGGGTTTATCATCAATGTCAGGGACAGCTGGTCCACGAGTGTCGACTATCACAACCACAGTTACTTTCTCCAAACTGTACTCTTGTCGAGTTAGGACCTCAGCACACTGCTATCTGGGTTTCCGACATGGTACAAGGGTGAGTTTATGGCTTTTGTTATCATTTTAGGTCTTTGAAATGAGAAGGATCCTGTAATTCAGTTTGTCGTCCTAGTGAGGTGCTGAAGTACAGCAAATATTTGTTAATTTTATGAGTAAAATATCACAGGACACCATAGGAAAACATTCTGGAGAATAAAGCTGAGAATAGAGAGAGACTAAAGTAACTTTATATGTGGATTTCTTTTTAAATTAACTCACTAATCATTTTCTAATAATACCACTTACAATATCAGGTTTCACACATTTTAAGTTGGTTAGTTGAGTAAGTTGTTAAGTAAGTTATTACTGTTAACTCATTACAATTTAAAGCCAGCCATATACAACTTTGTATTCACTTTAGTCACAGAGCAGCTGTTCATATCTGGGTGCTGCATGTGTCATATATTTGTGGGTGTGTCTGAAGCGTGTCCTCGGACATTTGCTTTGGCAAATATAAAAGAGGAGTAATTCGTCTATTGTGTGAAGGATGCACGCAGGTAAAGGCTGAGGGTGTGGTTCCTTCAAACTGGTTTTAAATGACTGGCTCCACATCTTCGACAGATCTTCTTTCCAGTGATGGAACATTGTATATCAGTGAAACCAGAAAGACATGATGGGGATTTTGGGAACAGAAGTTATTCTCTCCTGAGCTGACCCTGCACTCCCTCCAATTCTTTTTGATGTTTTTTACTGACAGCCGTCACTCATTGAACTGCCGGTTACAAACAGAATTTCTACTGAATGAAACAGGTAGAAAGAGATGAGAAAATACAAGTAAGAGGCAGCAACATTACACATTGATTATTACTGGTGGTGGACCTTTAAATTTCTATGATACATTTTGTCGTTCTCAGAGTTAATGCATGGTTGACCTGTGTTTTTGGACAGTGTTTTATTTACCTTCTAATCATGTGTGGTGCACAGCTGTGCATGATGGGAGGGTTTACTCCTTAGGCAAACTTTACACATACACACACAGAGCTTGGATCTTCTAACAACACAGGTGACATTTACTTTTAGTTTTTGAACATACAGAAGGTATCACACAGGCTGCGAACCTGCAGGCACAAAGAAGGACAGAAACTGTACCGACCTGACGTCATAACTGTCCTGATTCTTCACCAAAATAGCTGTAAATAAATGAGCAAACGAGTATGTTCGTGTGTGTACCTCCTCTTCTGTATCTATGAGCATAATGCCGTCCTCCTGCTGCGTAATGCTTGCTGACCTGTGACAGAGCCGTACAGTAATCAAAGAGCTCTACATTGTGCTCACTGCTCATTCTTGCACTTTCATGTCGAGCGAAATAGGTCAGACCTGCTCACTTGCATTTATGTCTCCATTTGAATGCACTGTTTTTGAATTTTTTTTTTTGTTTGCATTATTGTGTCGTCCGTATCCTTGGATCTGGTCTCCCGCTGTGAGGCGCTCATCCATCTGGATGGCTGCCTTTTAAATATGTTGGCCACCGGAGCCTGACAACAAGCTTGGCACAACTTTTTCTCCTGTGATTGATAGGCTCCTCCTCTCTCACTTTGTCCGCCTGCAGGTTTAATTGATGGCTACACGGGCGAACGGGCTGCGTTGGAGGAGCAGTTACGTCAGAAGGAAGAGCTTCAGATGAGTCTCGAGCAGGAGCTTCAGGTGAGCTGAGGATACAAAAAAAAAACTAGCCTACATCAAGACTGAACGTGACTTGGCCAGTTTAGAAGTCGAGGTTAGAGTTTTGCTTCTGGCATGTCAAAGTGATGACTAACATTTAAAGGTACAGTTGCTAAGATTTGGCAACATCTAGTGGTGAAAAAACCATCAGCACCGGACTGTTTTCATCTGAGCATGAAGAAGTCGTCTTTGGTTATTAATAAAAATCAAGAAGTCGTCTTTGGTTATTAATAAAACAAGCAATTTATTGATCTTTTTTTACTGTTGGTTAAAAATAAAAACATGACGAATCTTCTAATTATTATTACATTATTTATCCCACGTGACTGATTCCATGTAGTTTGTCTGATGAAACTAATGAGGAGGAGTAGCATGAAACACACCAGCCCTATTTGTAAAGCATAACTACATGGACCATGTTTCATGCTCCTGCAGGTTACAAGTAGTCGACTTCAGGAATTGGAGCAGGACAGGCTTCAGATGCAAGAGGAGCGAGAGCTGCTGTCACGGCAACAGGACGCTATGAGGGAGCATGCCGGGTCCCGAGAGCTTCGTACGTATTTCAGATCTCATCTCATAGAAGATGAAATAAACACCAGCGTTGTTTCGCTGTCATTATTCTCATAATCATTAGAGTAAATATCACATTCTGAACTTAAGCTGCAGGTTTCTTGCTTGCCTTGTAGGTCGTAGAAGTTCAAGAGCAAACATCATCTCTATAACTAAAGCGTAGTGTTGTTTGTATAAACCTAAAGCTCTACGTGTTCTAAACCAAACCAGCCTCATATGCTTGTTATTTACAAAATGAAGGCTTTAAAATACTTATCCAGTTTTTATCTGTGACTTACAAAGCTGAGTTTTTGTTTTTATCATTGTCTGCTGATTAATTTCAATTAATCTAACAGTGAATTTAGGAATTTTCTTTTGCAATTGTTGCTGGTAGAGTAGCAATAAAAATATGCTTACCACATACAAAATGTTTATTTGGCAGGAATCAGTGACAGATATAAAGAGTAGAGAGTAGAATGGAAAAACATCATATTTTCATCACTGTTTATCCAGGGGTGTGAGGTTTAAAATCTATTTCAACTAATGATAAAGGTTTAAACCCCTGTATTGTCAGGAAGATGCTGCAGTGTTTCATTCACTGATAAAGTGGTGAGTATTTTGTTATTGACGATCTGAACCAGAGAGGATTTTAGTTGTGTCACCTCGTCCGTCCACAGCGTCATTTCTGTAGCCTTCTTCTGTCACTGAGAGACGGAGAGAACAGCTCCGTTGTCTCTCTCTTCACCTTTCACTCTCCTGTTTCTAAGAATGTTCCTGTTTATCACCAAAACAAAGCATGTTAAACTCCTGTGCTCTCTTATTCCCCTGTAGGCCTAGTTGAAGCTGCAATGGTTGCAGCACCTGAAGCAGGTGTGTCCACTTTGAGCATGGCTCGCTCACGTCGTTATGCTTTTTTTTTTTTTTTACTGTAGCAAATCGACAGATTTTATGCTAATCCCTAATCCAGCAACTCACACCAGACCAGCTTGGCACTTGCTTGCTTTGGGCTTTAACACCCAGTTACTTACTTCTGCTTTGGCTTTTCCATCTTGATCTCTTGATTTCTTTATTTTTGTCCTGGTTTGTCTTTTTTAAAATGTCTTGGTTTAGTGTTGGCTCTCATTTTAGCATGATAAAAAAAAATATCTTAAGACATTTGTAAACCTCATTTCCAGAAACGTATGCTTTCTAAAACGTAGATCAATAAAACATGTAGTTTGGATTCTCACCTAAATTTATTGTAGCAGGTAGAAGGTCCAAGGATTTGTTTTGTGATAATAATAATGATAATTTAAAAAACTTAAAAAATAAAGGGGGGCAGGGGTCAGCACAATATTCATCTTTAAATTTTCACCATAATTCTCTCCTCTTTTCTTCTCTGTATATTAGAGATTTTTATGAATACTGTACTGAGCTTCTCATAGGTAACAAATCTCTGGTGTCTCAGTCGATAACCTCAGCTGTGGCCCTGTAGGTGGCGTGGCAGCCCAAGTTTGGGCTGTATCACATATGAAAGTGTGTCAACTTTTCTGGAAATTTGGTTTATTATATATATTTATATATCCTAATTATCGACCATTTTCACACAATCATTTCAGTGGTTTTATGTTTATGGGTTAGGATCTTCTTCTTCTTTGTGAGATGATTATGTTTATGTCGGATCTTCTTCTTCTTTGTGAGATGATTGGCTTTTTTTTAGGATTCCCCTCTCACCTGCCTGTAAAATGCTTTTTGGGCATGGATTCTGGGAATGTCTTTGGACTGTCCATGTGTCTGATCTCTGGGTCATATGCACTCTTTTGCACTAATCCATTGGGGTTTGATTCCGGGCGCAGCAACAGCAGGTGTTCACTGGTGATGGCAAGAGGGTACAGAGGCACCGCGATGAGTGATGGGAGGATTTTTGGTTACATGGTGTTATGTTGGGGATCTGACTGAGATGTGAGGAGAGTCTGAGGTTACACAGTCGTTCTGATGCAGTGTATTTGGAAAACAAGAAAAGGTAGATGTTTTTATCCATATAAATATCTTAATACTAGTCCTGTTGTAATCCAATCAGAAGTCTCACAGACCTCAGACTCTTCAGCTCCATCTCAGAATCATGCTCCTCACAGGAATGGATAAAATACAGTCAGTGAGAGAGTAAAATAGTGGATTCTAACTTCTCCATCATTAACCGTGTCCTTTAGACCTGTTGGAGGAGACAGAGAAGCTAATGAAAGAGAAGGTGGAGGTCCAGCGCCAGGCAGAAAAGGAGAACTCTGACCTCCTGAAGCAGGTGAAGCTGCTGGAGGCGGAGCTGGAGGAGCAGGTCAACAGGGTGATCGAGCTGGAGCAGGCTCGGAGGACGGAGAACGGAGACCTGCAGCAGCAGATCCAGGCTCTGGAGAAACAGCTGGACAAAAACAGGAAGTTCCTTGATGTAAGTGAACAAATAGTTGTGAGGCAAATGCTGTTGTCTGTCTCTTATTTTGACAAACATTCCTGTTTTTGTCACTTGGTGTTTCAGGAACAAGCTGTGGATCGGGAACATGAGAGGGACTTTTTCCAGCAGGAGATCCAGAAACTGGAGAAGCAGCTGAAGAATCCACAGAAGGTTCAGACTGGCTCGGAGCAAAGAAACCAAGAGGTAACGGGAGAGGACGCGGTAATAATAGAGATGCTCATTTTTTAGGTACGTCATTGTTGTAGCTACAACACTGGCCTCAGAGCCACACAACACGGCTGATAGAATTACTACCGTCTCAGAAACAACAACAAACACAACGAGTATTAAACAAGAAAGACACGGATCTGAGGTTTGTTTTTGGAGGATTTCCCAAATCTCTCTTATATACAGAGATGGGAAACTGATGTCCTCAATATATATTTTCCAAGTTCTGCAGAACAGCAGCTTAAATATGTCAAAGCATATGAATCACTGAACATAAAACACAATAAATAATAAACCTTTCAAAGTCAATCTGTGATTTAGTTTACAAAATCACATTCACTGAGAGGAAAAAATAACCCTGACACTCACTGATTTTAAAACATCACTCTGCTTCCAACAAGACAGATTATAATTGCTGAAATATTTATTACACCTTTTGCTAATGCTACAGTTTAAGGTTGTTCTACTACATTCCAGTGTGTTTGAATGAAAACTAACACTCTTAATGAATAAATAACATAGAGCGTCTTTATTCCCAGACTCTGATTCCACTTTTTTATCACTAAGTGCTTTTTCCTTCCCGTTTACCCTCGACCTCTCCATCCTTTAATCCCTAATGCTCATCCCTTTTCTCTCCGGTGACTATTGCAGGTGGATGGAGTAACCTTTAAGGTATTGCTTCTAGCTCTATGTAGAATAAAGTCCCCCCTGAGAGCAATTAGAGCCTTTTGAATCCCCTTGCCCGGACCTGTAGCGAACGTCAACCTTCTCGCTCTCGTCTCTGCCCGACATGACTTCCTTTTTCCATTTTGCTGTTTGTGTCTTCCATTGTATATTTTCTGTCTTTCTCTGATGTGCCTGAACTTTAAATCACCCTTTTTTCACTCTGTCTTTGCGGTAAATATTTCAAATAATACTCAACATCTCAAAAACAGAGATAAACAAAAATATATGGGGTTGATAGGATTACCTTGATCATCTCTTATTTCCCCTTTTTTTACATTTATTCTAATAACAACAAATATAAAGTACTACTGTGATTGTTAATATAAACTACCAAGCACAGCTACATACAAAGGGCCCACAATGTGAAGCGTGATGGTGACATCATCATGCTTTGACACTGTTTTACTTAACTAGAACTGAGTCTTTAATCAGTGTGAGCAAAATGAAACATAGTTACAAACAATTACTGCTTGGTGTTGGTAGGAAACATTTAAATATGCAGTCATGGAGTCCAGACCTGAATCTGAGTCAAATCTGTGACTTAAAGAGCTTTGACTCATTTGGAGCACTTTGGAGAGAAAGAGTGGGGATAACTGCCAAGGCAAGATGTTGAACACTGAAGGACAAAGTGCTGTGTTATAATCAGATGGTCTTTAACACAGTGCTAGAGTTATACAAGTGTTTAAGATGTTTTTAAAATACATATTTTAATTACTAACATGTCATAGGTCTAAATAAAAACAAAAGAAGGTCTGACATTTATTTTGGTGACAATATTTTGAACTAACACGTATAAGTATACAGTATATTGTGGCATAAATAACATCAGCTATTTAAAGACTGAATTTGTGGACTAATGGAGCAGCTAAAATAAACCATTCAAGGACATTTCGGACTCGTGACGTTGTACCCCCTTCATCTTCAACTCAGTCTCCTCCTGTTGAACCCATTCTATTGAGCGTCTTTTAATCCATCTCACCGGAGTTGCCTAAACCATATTTGATTATATTTTGCCCCATTTTGCACCTTCCCCTGTCTTCTCACCCGGACCCTTCCGTTCTCAGGTGGATCAGCTGATTTTACAGCTGGCTGTTCATATATCAGCCATGCTGTCTTGAGCATGTGTGAGAGAAAAGAAAATCTCATTAAACCATCTCCCACTCTCTCGCTCCTTTCCGCTCCCCCTTCCCCCCTCAACACTCTCTCTCTCCCACTACCAGGTGGATCAGCTGACCTCCCAGCTGAAGGAGAAGGCGGATTGGTGCAGTGAGCTGCTGCTCAGCTCCGAGCAGCTGCATCGTGATTTGAAGGAGCGCGACGAGGAGATTGACAAGCTGGAGAGCCGCATCCGTGAGCTGGAGCAGGCCCTGCTGGCCAGCGCTGAGTCCCTGGAGAAGGTTAGAGAGGGGAAGGGAGGGAGGGAGGGAGGGAGGACGAGTGAGAGAGAGGGAAAGGAAGATGAACGATGTGCTGAGACTAGAGCAGAAAAGAACAAGCTGAATAAATAGCGTGTGAAAGCAGGCTGTGGGTGTGTGTGTTTGGGAGCACACACCAATGTAGCGACACTGAGCTAGAGAAGCAGAACAATATGTGGGTGGGTCTACTTCAGGGAACAAAGCAGTTTGTTATTAGTGGTGGCACTTAGGCACCATTGGCTTTTAACTGTCAAGATTGCCCCCCAGTGTTCAGTTCAGAGGGCTGTGGTGGGTGAACAACAACATTAGTGCATGCTGTTAGCTCAGAGTGCCAGAAGAATTCCAGCTGCAGGATACGAGGTGCAGCATGTGCAGATCTTCTCAAAATCTATTCCAGTTCCTTCACATCTTCTCTGCTGTTTGTAGATAACTGCACATCTTATTTTCTCATGAGTTCCTGTTTCTGTGTTCGTTGCAGGCTGAACAAAAGAAGCAGCATGCATCCATCACTGAGAGCAGACAGTCCGCGCTGGAAGCCCAGCTACAGACGGAGAGAGAAGCTCTGGAGAGGAAAGAAAAAGAGGTAGCTTTGTGTTCAGTTTCGGCCGTACCGATCCCAAAGACATTTTTGAGCCCAAACATTGACTCGTGTCATTGATCCACTTGTCACGTTGCCTCAGATCTGCAACCTGGAGGAGCAGCTGGAACAGTTCAGAGAGGAGCTGGAGAATAAGAGCGAGGAGGTGCAGCAGCTTCACATGCAGCTGGAGATCCAGAGAAAGGAGATCAGCAGCCCGCAGGAATACTTAGAGACCAGGGACAGCATGCTCCAGGTAAACACACCTTCTGTTGCCAAAACACTGCATCTTTAAACAAGAAGTTCCACTGTTGTTTAAAGGCTTTGGATATAAATGTCAGAAAGACCATGTATTCGTTACAGTTTTATTTTAAAGAAAAATGTACAGTGCAATAATTTGGTCTAGTGTTGTTAAAGCATTTAACTCCCCTTTTTCCCTTTAATATGTGTTGCTAGTTTAAATACTGGGGGACCATCGTTGAGTAACTGCAGTTGTATCCTGTAATTTGTCGAAATGTTTCAACCAGAACAATGCATTCTTCTTTGGGGTCATGTGGATATAAAAAAAATGCTGCTTGTAAAGGACATAGCTGAGGCAGCAGTTCACAGCAGAACAGACTTCATGAGCGAATCCAAATAGCTCAGAAAATCCCCATCAACTTTCAGAAGTGAGGGGGGCAACTTCTGTATAAACAAAGAACCGTTTATTTATACTGGCCTATCAAAATAGTGAGGGGTAAAAGTGTAATTTGTTTATTTTGGGGGTATTTTTGCAGATTCTTTTATTTGTATTAATATTTCCTAATGATAAAAACTTTTTATTTTCTCAACAGTATATTCTGTATTAATTGAACAGTGATGTCTTATAGCTAATATTTCATTTTTTATTTTCATACATTTGCTCTTTCATTTTTTTATGCATGAGGCAAACCTGCAACTGCAGGGTATATTTTTTTACTCATGTTTTTTTTTAATCTTATTAATCCAAAGGCCTGGCTTTGAGTTAGACTTTTTTCATACACTGTGTTGACAGCCATTACATTAAATTCTTTGACTTTTGAAGGTGATGGAGGAGAAGGACAGGGAAATAGCACTTCTTAATGAACAGATCTCTAAACTCCGACACACAGAAACTGCTTCCAGTAACAAGGTAACACAATATGCATATACGAAATAGAGCCCTCATTCTATTTCGAATAAGCATATTTTTGTGTTAGTGCATCAGTGTGTGTGCTTCATTTGGTTTACTTTTTCATTCATTTTGTTGGCTCACATTTATATTTTTTGTTGGATCATTTTGTGTTTTTTTTATGGAGTTGGTAAGTAAATTCACAGTCGTCTTTTGTTGTGAGTTGATGATGTGTTCATGTGAAGTAAACATTTGAGTCTCTGTAGAGCAAAGTTACAGTATAATTCTATGAAAAGTGACATGATCTAAGGCCTAAGGTGCAAGTTTTTTCAGCACAACAGGGACTCAAATGTTTACTAGTAAACGTGTGTCGCTTTTGAGACATAAATCAGTTCTCTTCACGCTGTAATGAAGGAAACATTCTCTCCGTAGGAATTAGATGGAAAAGATGATCTGTTGAAAGACCTGGAATCTCAGGTGGAGTGTCTGCAGAGTGAACAGGAGCACCTGAAGAGGAATCACGAAGAGGAGCTTGACCAACTGAATGCAGTAATTGACAAGCTT